CGCCGGCGCCGCCCACCGCCCCCCGCTCCCCCGTGCGTTCTTTATTCTCCGAGGTCCCCGGATGTCTTCCACCCCCACCACAGCGTCCCCTTTCCACTCACCTCTCCTGCAGCCATTCAAAAGGGGTGGGGGTGGGAAAAGCCAAAGTCCCTCCAAAGAGGAAGGCTGCTCTGACTGTTCCTCCTTCTCGTCCCCACCCCCTGCTCAAATTTCTCAACTGCTTCCGAGATCAGAAGGTAACCCTTCGAGTGTCTCTCTCCCAGCGGCGAGAGGAGCCGCTCGGCAAGGCTCGCGTCTCCGTTGCTGCTGCTGCTGGACTCCGGGTTTCAGCAGAGCCTTTTGTGTTTTAGCAGTCCGTAGGGTTTGCAAGAGGCCCGTTTACAGGGACCGGCTGTGTCCCCCTCCGATTTTGCAAGAACTTGATAAATCGCAGTCAGAACCAAAACCAATGCTCCCTCTAAGCTGTGGAGTCCTGTGAGCAAAAATTCCACTTTGTGAGCTCCTGGCATCAAAGTTGTGAGCGAGCAATTTGGCTACTGCGTGAATTAGTTTGCTCTGGAGCCATCCTTCCTGAGCGAAGACAAAAACGTGTGAGCCGGAGGCTAAAAACCTGTGAGCTAGCTCACACTAACTCAGCTTAGAGGGAACACTGGTCAGAACCCAATCCTGCAACAACAACAAAACATTCAACTTTCCTCAAGTTTAAACCTGCAATTCTATGCACAACAAGCCTCGCTGGAGGAAAAGAAACAAGCAAACCCTTTAAAGCAGGGGTGTTGAACTCATTTGTTATGAGGGCCGGATCTGACATAAATGAGACCTTGCTGGGCCAGGCCATGTGTGTCATAAAATGTAATGCCAGGTAGCGGAGATATAAACTTTATAAAAGACACATATTTTGTTTATTTAACAGTGTCTGATAACTAACACCTCTTCCTCTGAATTATTACATCAAAATGTCTGTGCTGTTGCAATCTTGAGTATGCTGTTCAGGGGTGTATCTGTAAGCTGCAAACCTACCATGACGCAGCAGCAGCAGAACTGGAAGAAGCAGAAGACAGCCAGTTCCACTGTGGGCTTGATAGAAGCCCTCTGGGGGCCTAATCTGGCCCCTGGGCCGTATGTTTGACACCCCTGCTTTAAAGCCTCTCCTAAGGGGCTTTCCCCCATGTCACCAGCAACCTTTCCAGGCAACAAACACAGCTGGTGCCTTCTCCATTGCTACGGTTGCCAACCTCCAGTTAGTGGCTGGACATCTCCTGGGATTACAACTGATCTCTTTGTGACGGGGATCAGTTCCCCTAAAGGAAATGGATCGGGATGGGTGGCCGTGTTAGCCTGTCTGCAGCAGTAGAAAAGAGCAAGAGTCCAGGAGCACCTTAAAAACTGGTTGAGAAAAGGGGGGGGGGACACTTAAACCAACAAAATTGAATCAAGGGCCTGAAAGGTAAATTAGAAAGCAAAAGCAGGGCTAAAATCTAAAATGAAATATGAACTAGTTGTACGTAAAAATACCTGTATTTATTACAGAGACATTTAAAAGCATATCAGGGCCCAACACAAGCTTCAAAATATAGAAAGGTAAAGGTTCCCTTGCTCGAAAGCCAGTCGAATCCGACTCTAGGGTTGCGGTGCTCATCTCCGTTTCAAAGCCAAAGAGCCAGTGCTGTCCGAAGACGTTTCCGTGGTCATGTGGCCGGCATGACTGAACACCAAGGCGCACAGAACGCTGTTACCTTCCCACCGAAGTGGTACCTATTTATCTACTTGCAATTTCGACTGGCTTTCGAGCAAAAGAACCTTCACCATTTTTTTACCTATGGAATCTCAGCTGCTGCCAACATGTGCCTTCTGGGTAAAGTCCAGCTCTGTCCCGTGCATTTCCTCAGGCTCACTTCCTCCAGACTGAGAATTCTCTGCCTGGGGCTTCCGTGCGCCTTGGTGTTTAGTCATGCCGGCCACATGACCACGGAAACGTCTTCGGACAGCGCTGGCTCTTCGGCTTTGAAACGGAGATGAGCACCGCAACCCTAGAGTCGGATTCGACTGGCTTTCGAGCAAGGGAGCCTTTACCTTTACAAGGGCCTCAAAACTCACCTCTGTCTTCACAATGACGGTGGGAGATGCTGTGCCCAGAATGAAAGGAATCGGAAGGTGCTGGGCCCAGGTTATCACCAGACACCCTCCCCCTCCCCAATTGCACAGGAAGCTACAGTTGAATGTGGCAAGCATAACTCATCCCAAAAGAAAGCTGGGATGCTCACAATTAGCCACTGAAAGGAATCAGAACATCCTCCCCACAAACCCCGGCCCCTTGCTTTTAACGTTGAAAGTAATGTGTGTCTGTAAAAGGTATAACCCATCAAAGTTTGCTGTGCCCAAAATGAAGGGAATCAGAACACCCTCACCCAGGCGATCTCCAGATGTACAGACACATATTCCTGCTATTTGCACTAGAAGCTATGATTGGCCGTGGCAGGTATAACTTACCCTTCAGTCCCTACCAAAAAAGCCAGGAGCCTCAAGAAGAAGAGATTTGATTTATACCCCACCCTTCAACCTGAAGGAGTCTGAGAGTGGTTTACACATTCCTTTCCCTTCCCCTCCCAACAGACACCCTGTGAGGTAGGTGGGGCTGAGAGAGCTCTGAGAGAACTGTGACTGACCTAAAGTCACACCAGCAGCTTCATGTGGAGGAGTGGGGAATCAAACCCGGTTCTCCCAGATTGGCGTCCACACTGCTAACCACTACACCAGAACAAGGTTGGGTAACTCCTGGAGATTTGGGGAGACAGGTACCTCAGTGAGGTGCAATGCCACAGAGTCCCCCCTCCAATACATCGATTTTGTCCAGGGAAACTCGTCTCTGTAGTCTGGAGAGGAGCGGTAATTCTGGGGGATCCTCAGGTTCCACCTGGAGGCTGGCATCCCTAGCTAGAGATGAATTGTCAGTTAATTATTGTGACTGATTTGTGTAGAATAGGATTAACAATAGCCTGTGGGGGTAACCTTGTCCCTTAACAGAGGCTTTTTGTGTGGAAATGGGCAGTTGAAGCTTTTCATGGCATGGAAGGAAATCACTTCCAGTAAATAATTAGCCCAGCAAGCCTCTGTTATCTTTCCCATCTGACATCTTTCCCCTCCACATTGTTTACAGCCTTATATCTAGCCCCAAATAAATCACAATAACTAAATGACACCTTATCCCTAACATACTGTGTTCAAAATTAAGTTAGAAAAAAACATAAAGCGAATCATCCTGATTCCTTCAGCAATTTTTCATGTACTCTCATAAGTAAATGCGAGTACTTCTTAGAAAAATCTATCTGTGGCTGTCTCTTTTTTTGCGAAAAGGTGATAAAGATATATACTGTGTATGAAATTCCTTTAAAAAGCCTCTGTAAGAAGTCTTTTGAAATTTAAGTGGAAGATATATGTAATACTGATCACATGTGATGCAAAGATAGATGCTGACGCCACAAGAATGGAATTTCCCCCAGTTGGAGACTCCCCTGAGGCAAGTCTGAGCATCTTCCAGAAGCCTCCAAAAATATTTCTATTCGGAACGGACATCTGGGATGTCATTAAGTGGTTCAGGGGAGAGTCAACCTTTCTTTCACGTTATCAACTCTACCCCCATTTGTAAATGAACCACAAAAGAGGAACAACAGAAAACACATTCTGGGGTCCTGTTAGAGACTCTGCAGATACAATATGGATTCCTCACCTGCCGTTTCTCTGCCTTGGCCACTTGCTGGCTTAGCAGAAAATTGTTGACCAGGGCCGCGGCTTGGGTGCAGTTCTTGAAGCTGCCGGCCCTGATCCAGCTCTGCAGCTCCAGCGGCAGGATGGCCAGGAACTGCTCCAGGATCAGCAGCTCCAGGATCTGCTCCTTCAAGTGTCTTTCCGGCCTCAGCCACTGGTGGCACAGCTCCCGCAGCTGGCTGTAGATCCGACGCAGGTCTTCCACCTCCCGGGAGCAGAACTGCCGGAAGTGCTGGCGCAGGGTTTCTGTGCGGTTGGCTTCCCCATGCAAGATGGCCGCCTTCACTTTCCCATAATCCTCCCTGTCTCTGGCCTCCAGGCTGCTAAAGACTTTCTGGGCTTCTACACTCAGTGCTGGCAGGAGCCGGGCCACCCACTCTCCCCTGGGCCACTGGCAGGCTTGGGCCACTTGCTTGAAGGAGGCCAGGAAGGCCTTGGTGTCCTCCCAGGGGCCAGGTTTCTTTCCCCACCCGGTCTGAGAGGAATTCAGTCCCCTCAGGAAGTCCTGCCATTGGGCTTCCCGGCACTGCTCCTCTCTTGGCCAAGCTCTCCCGCTGGGCCACTCTGCCATATTTTTGGGCTGAACTATCTGTTCCAATTTTTATTTATTTATTATTAAATTTATTATTAAATTTTGGACCTATGCTACGAAGTTCTGCTCCTTGGATACTCAATTCCTGGCTCTATACTAGAATAATGACCCTGCTGGCAACTGGATTCTAGGCAGGAATCTACTAGAAACCCAAATATGGAACAAGCCTTCTTCTGCTTGCTTCTTGGGCTTCTGTCCAGTTAACTGTGCTGACCCGGCTCCTGACTGAGGGCTGGGAGAGGGAGATTTGGTGACAAAAGAGTAGCAATTGTCAGAGGCCTCCACCATTAAAGGAGTTTCCTGGGGGCATTTCTGTTTTACAAAGGGAGGTACTTCAACTGACCACAGACACTCTCCATGAAACAGTTGGGTGGCCCGGAGAAAGGGTATGTGTGAAAAGGCAGATTGATGGCCCAACTCTTCCTTTCCCAAACAGTAAAGGTAAAGGTTCCCTTGCTCGAAAGTACAAATATTTATTAAGGTGTACACGTGTTAAAACTTTCCTGATTAAAAATCGCTTTGTCTAAGATCAGACTGTAAAAGCTTGTCCACTATACATACAAATGATGGGTAAAAACTTTACAAATGAAGACCAAATGCGTTTCGGCCCCTAAGGGCCTTCCTCAGTGGTCACTATTATCTATATATTCTAGACACACATTCAAAGACCTGTTACAGAATTCTAGTACACATATAATTACACCAGATGTTGTTTCCTGAAATTGTTCAAAGAAAAGCAAGGGGGGGGGGAAGAAGCAACTTCATTATTTTGTCCAAATTTATAAAAGAAACTATTATTAAATAAAAATGATTCTATTAAAGATAAAGTTACCTTGTCTACTTATAATTGGACTCCTGGTATTAGTGATGGGCCATAGGTATAGCCATATCACCACCACAACTTATTCTAAATTAAAAAGTAAAATGTATAATTGTATAATTAATTGTATAATTAATGGGTCCTACTTTGTGACCCATTGGGCCCACAGGATAATGTACACAGGATTAAAATCCAGACAGTATTAAACAGTACGAAACACTCAACAAATTGTATGTCCTGCTTATTCCTGGCACTTTGTATCAGAGCCTGGTCCGTCCGTTCTTTCAAGTCTGTTAGGCTGAGATTCATAGCATCCAATTTCTGATGGATAGGGGTGATACTATCTTTAAATTCTTTTTTCATTTCTACCAGCATAGACTGTATATCTTTTTTGGTGATTGAGTCCTCACGTTTCCTTTTGCTCTGCCGGCTGGTTGCCTCCTCTTCGGAGTCGAGTTCTAATGGGGGGGGGAGTCTTCATCCGATGGTTGCATAGTTTGCTCACTTTGTTGAGCTTCCTCGTTATTTTTCTTGGCTCCTTTCCCTCCTTTCCCTCCTCTTTGCCTCCCCATCCTTATCAGCGAGTAGTTTTAGTCTTTATAGTCCTCAATTAGTTTTTATTTTGCGTTTTTTTGGAGCAAAGACGCGGAGGCTCTCTTGGTCTGTCTGCGCAGAAACACTCAACAAATTCAGCTTGCCAAAGAGAAGCAGACTGCAAGCAGAGGGACCCTTCAGCACATTTAGACTCCTTTGAGGACCCAAGCCTCCTAGCCTGTGCTTAAAGTCTAAGGCTTCATTCAGAACTCATTAAAAAACCCAGTCAGTTCATAATGGTAGAAACCTCGGCTTCCTTCCTTCTTTTTTTAATTTTTAAAGTATTTTTATTGAGATTTTCAAAATATAACACAGTGTAGTACAGTAGATTGTTTACGGTACAAAATTGTGATCTAAAAATTCGAAAAGTAGAGTCTACATATAAAAGCTCAGTGAAATGAGATAATAGAGCCTTGCTTTTTTTATCTCAAAGATATAACAGTATTCTAATGCATGAATGAGTTTAATTCTGGTTGTGCACATCTCGTTATTGGTGTAGAGGGAAAAATAAACATGGACCTTTATATACCTATCGCATTTAGCCAAACAATAGTAACTCATATTTGGGGTTTTTAACATTTTCCCAGTCAAACTTATCTATACCTTCCTTCTTTTGTTCAGAGAACCCAGATAGAAAACCAAAACCTTCCCTGATGCTCATATGTGGGCTCCTTAATTAACTGCAGTTTGTTTCTTTCCCAGTAATCAGGAACCTTAACTGAGATTCGCAATTGTTTAAGAATCCCGGTAAGTGAAGATGCTCAACTTGGGACGTCACAACTCTTTCCTTCTTCAGGAGGAGGGGAGAACGGAGAGAGGGGATGAGCAACCCTATTAACCTGGATTGTGTCCCTCATGCACAAACTTCGGTTTGTTGGCGGGATATGAATTGCATCCAAGAGGAACTGCGATAGAGTCGCCTGTGGAGAGAGTTGGTGTGAACTCGGAGTGGACAGCAGGTTACAGAAGCCTGTTTATTCCTAAAAGGACAGATTTGCTATAGCAGCTTTTATATAGTCTGAGCAAACATTGGCACCCCCCAATCTGTTAACTGTGCTACAGTCCTACATGGTTTCTCTGGTGGGTAACCAACATGTTTCTATGACGGAGCCGTTTCCGAGACTCCAGAGGCCTTTCTAAAGCATCTGTCCTTTGTTACATCTCTGATGTCTGACTAACTCCTCTTTCTGGAAAAAAGATTTGTCCACACGTAGGCCATTGAAGCAGCTTACAGCCGAGCATGGATGCTTTGGTGTCTCAACAAATTCTCTCTCCGAGTGAACCTTTTCCCACACTGAGGACACTGATGGGGCTTTTCTCCTGTGTGAATTCTCCGATGTCTTGTTACGTCCGTTTTAAAGGCAAAGGTTTTTCCACACTCAGGACACTGGTGCCGTTTCGGATGTTTCGCCTGGGTCGATCCGATGTTTAGCCCGGCATTTGAAGCGTTTCCCCTGCTGAGAACATTCACAAGGCCTCCCTTCAGTACCATCTCCTGATCCCTCTCCAGTGCTGTTCCGCAACAGAAGCCCACCCCACATTTCGGAGAGTCAGACGTGTGACGGTCATTCCGATAACCCGCCAAATTATCTCTGGACTTGGAGAATTCATCTCGCTCCTCGCCTGTGTGGATTCTCTGATGTCGTTCAAGGCAGTCTTCTGGCTGGACATCTCCCCCCCGTGGGGGACCTTCAAAGGGGTCCTCTTCAGTATCTACCAGAACAAATCCAGATCTGTAGCGGTATTTTCTCCCATACCTTGAGAACGAGGGCCTTTGTTCCTTTGTTTGTACTGGACTGGTTCTGCTCACAGCAGCTGGAAGACCTTCAGAATGTTCTGTGGATCTATTCTGTTCCTCCGTTGGCCCTCGGCAACCACATCTCCGCTTGCGGATATTAGATGTTCCAGGAATGTTCAATTGGGTTACTTCTGCTGCTGTCTCTTGCATTGGCTCTGGGCCAGTGTCTGCCCCTTGGAAGTCCTCCCTCTTCATTGGATTTCTCTTTTCAACACCTGAAGAGACAGACAAAGGAATATCAGCTACATTCTCAGCCACCCATTGCTTCTGTACACCTGAACATAGGCAGCTGCCTTATACTGAATCATGTAGGTAGAGTGTAGATATGTAGTAAAGCAGAGCACAAGCTGTTTAAAGAATAAAGTTGGTTTATTTTAAGAAGAAAACAAACTTTGTAAGAAAGAGGAGAGAGAATGAGAAGTCTAAACTAGCCAGGAGTCAGTAACAAAGAGGTCTCACAGGAGCGGGAAAACCCCTAATTGAGCCAACCAGGAGACAGGAAGGACTGTACTCTCAGAGTACGGTTTTCTTATCTTCTTAGGGCCAAACAGGGGGTCTTAACTTTCAGTCCACATAGACATTTTACTTCTTCCTTCTGACTCATTTGTGGATCCTCTGGTGTTTAACCAGTAATCTCCTATTACAGAAGTCTTTCCCGCACTGGGGGCATTCGTAAGATATCTTTCTTCCATGACTTCTTCGATGTTTCAACAAGTCATCCGTCCGAGAAAAGCTGATACCACATTCGGGGCATTTGAATGGTTTCTCTCCTGTATGGAGTCTCAGATGTCTGCTCAGATCTTGCTTCCATTTCATGCTCTTCCCACAAACAGGGCACGTGTAAGTCGTCTGTTCATGGTGGGTTTTCAGATGTCTCGTTAACGTCTTTGGAGTGAGGCTTTCCCCATTCTCAGGGCAACTGTGCTTTCTCTCTCCCGTATGGCCACTCTGGTTCCTCATCAGATTAACTCCCTTGCGGAAACTCCCCTTCAATGGACATTTGTAGGATTTATCTCCTGTAGAGATTCTCTGATGTTCATCAAGGTCTACATTTTCTTCGCATGAGGAAAATTCATCCCCTTGGCCATATCTTGGGTGCTTGGGGTGGGTTTGGCTACAGACTGCCCCGAGACCTTCTGAAAGCCCCTGGGATTCAGTTTGCCCCTGTGGGGATTTCTTCCTCCGTTTTCCTTCAGACTCACATATTTCCACTTGAATCTCAGGTGTCGCCAGCGTGTCCCCTTGGGTCTTCTCTGGGTCCCCTGTTTTATTTCCTCCACAGGAAGGATGCTCCGCTTTGAACCGACTTCCTTTCTCATCACCTGCAGGAGTAAGAGACGGAAATTTGGCACTGTTCTGGAATTTGGCATTCCCTTTCGCCCTGTGGGTTGTACCCAGCACAAAACGTCTGCTTGCGCCAGAGTGCTGGCTCAAGCAGAAACACAAGGAAAAGATGGCTGAAGCCACTTGGGCTAAGTAAGTGATGCCCGCTTGGTGGCTTGGGAGTCATTTGTGGCTCTTGTGAACCCCAGTTTGGTGTAGTGGTTAAGCGCACGGACTCTAATCTGGGAGAATCGGGTTTAATTCCCCACTCCTCCACTTGCACCTGCTGGATGACCTTGGGCAAGCCGTAGTTCTGATAATGAGCTGTTCTTGAAAAAGAGCAGTTTCCGTCAAGAGCTCTCTCAGCCCCACCCACCTCACAGGGGGTCTGTTGTGGGGAGGGGAAGGGAAAGGAGAGTGTAAGCCGCTCTGAGACACCTTTGG